GTAAAAATAATCTTTTTTGATGACGGGGAACCCACTTTGAGACTAATAATGGTTGGAGACTGCTTGAATGGGTAATGAAGAAAAACTTTAATACAAGTTTAACATAACAGCAAATGTACAATGTTTCGACAAGGTTTTGTCATCATCAGGCATCATTTGCTGTTATGTTAAACTTGTATTAAAGTTTTTCTTCATTACCCATTCAAGCCGTCTCCAACCATTATTAAAACTAATCTTTGTTAACTACTATTTCTGCATTAGCCTTATCTATATCAGAACTTCTTTTTTCCATTCTGGTCATTTCCTTGGAGATGTTTATCAGGATTGGGTTACAAAATTTATTTCTTCATTATGTGTTTTAAAAGTATTATTTATTGCATTCATTATAGTTTCATGTTAATCAAGTAAATGTGACATGTTATTCTGTCTCTGGAATTCTACATTTTCTATCAATTTCTTTATTATCATCCAGCAATGAAATCCCAAATAGAAATGCTAATATTTTTAATCCTATATCAATTAGTCCTCTTTTTCCTCCTTTGTTATTTATGGTTAATGGTACACTACCCTTTACATTATTTATGTCTTTTAAATGTTCTTTTAGTTCTTCTACATATATATATATATCTGCTAATCCCCAAAAAAGTTCTTGTAATCCTGTTGTACTAATCTTAATATTTGTAACATATATTATTATGTCAGGGAACCTTTCCCATTGTCATTGTCAATTTAAAGGAGGCTGAAGCAGGTGATCTTGTTAGTGTTGATTTAAATTTTATTACTTATATCTGTAATTTTATCTCCTAAAATAAAATTTCCTTGCTCAACAAATACCAATTCTGCTTTATCAAGAATTGGCTGAATACTTAGATAACTTTCTAGTTGTTCAATCATCATCATCAGTAGTACTATATTTTTACTTGGTTACTTAAATTAGAAACTTAGCTACTCTCTCAAGTATTAATTCAGTTTGTTTCTTAAATAAACTTTAATTTTTAGCCATATAAGCTAATATTTTATTGAATGTGTTAAGTAATTCCCTTGGATCTATGGCAAATACATTTTATTTACTTGATCTCTTGTTCATGTGATACTTCAGACAGCTGGGTTAAAACTAACTCTTCTAGTTGATGTGTTTTTTTATCCAGGACTGATCTTCTATGGGGCCTTTTGATCTGGTGTAGGCTGGCCAGATGTCCTGCTTTTGAGCAGTCTGTCTTCTATCCTGCGCCATCTCAAGCAGGACGTTAATTTTTCCTTCTTTTTGGGGCCTGTCTAAAAAGAATTATATAAATTACTATGCGTATACTAAAACAGCGGGAAGTGAAGGCCACAATAACAATTGACGTATTTTTATTATAATTTTATATAGTTGCCATTGGCAACACTAAGCGCGGAGTCATAGTGTACGTGTACAAGACGAGTCAAGCTATCAATTAAGTACACGTCAGAGTCTGAGACAGTCAGTCTGCCGAAGGCCACAGTTGACAGTGGTTGCCTTTATTTCTTGTTTTAATTAAGCCCCTAAAGAAATGTCGAAAAGAAAGACTACATTTAACCATGAATGGGCCAAAGAATTTGGATTTATTGCTAAAAGCAGAAAAGGTGACTTTCATGCATTACGTACACTATGCCGTTGTGATGTGGATATTAGTGGCACGGGAAAAAATGCAGTTGAATAGCACGCTGCCACAGATAAACATAAAGTTAACACTCATAGTGCTGGTACATCATCACTGTTATAATTTTTCTCCCCAGCTCGATCATCTCAAGATGACAAAATAATGGCTGCAGAACTGTGTAAAGTGTATCATGCTGTGAAGCATCATCAGTCATACAAAATTGTTGATTGTGGAGTAAAGATTGACAAAGAAATATATAGTGACTCATTGATAGTGAAGGGAAGACTACAACAAAAGCTCTATGTGAAAATATTCTAGCACCGTATTCTGTACAAACACATGTGGAGTACATCAAAGAACATGGTTTGCCCTTTTCAATAGCAACTGATGCTTCAAACAAAGGTGCAACAAAGTGTTTCCCAATACTTCGGAGATACTTTCATTTTGAGAAGGGAGTGCACCATGTGTTACTTGACTTTTATAGCAATAACAATGAATCATCAGAGGCCATAACAAATCAGCTACTATCTAAACTAGAGACGTCAGGTCTGGATCTGAATAAAGTGTCTGCATACACTGCTGACAATGCAAGTGTAAACTATGGAAAACACAACAGTGTTTATCAAAAACTAAAATGGCTCAAAAGAACATTATTGCTGCAAACTATCTGGCT